CATAAGCGAATGGCTGGACTTTGCACATCTTCGTCGGCTTGACCGGCGAGGCGCTAGACCACCTTGACGTCCATTTCTTGGTGGTCCTGCAGGGGAAGGCGCTCTCTGACCCTTGGCCCTACTCAAGGCATTTCCTCCTACAGGCGGATTTTGGTAGAAAAATCGTCCCTAGACATTTTTAATGTATATATATATACATATATATATATATGTATATATATATATATACACCAAAGAAATCTTCCTCCTCTGGAAGGACATGCCCGACTTCACACTTCGCTGCTCGGGCTGCTCCTCCTGGCCCCGTCCCTCCCTAGAGGAGGACGGAGGCAGGAGGGAGGATGGAACCATACTGTCGAGGTGCTATCAAAAGTAACGCTAAATAAGGAACGGAGCCCCCTCTTGGCCCCAGAAGCGCCCAGGTGCACGAGGAGTGATGGAGGAGGCGCCATGGAAGAGCTTAAGGAACAGCGAGCCCCTTCCGCACCCGAGGCGTTTCTTATTTCAGCGTCTTGGCCGTACCTCCTCGCGCAGTCAATAGGCACGGACGGAACGGCTCTGGATTTTTTCTGGTCTCCGCGGGCCCTCTCACCAAGCCTCTCGGGGCCGTCGAACAAGAACAGCTCGGGAGGAAACACCGGTCCCGGGGAAGAGGTCGAGACTTCTGGGGACTCCGCAATCGAAGACAAAAAATGGCATCGGAGGTCGGGGGAGAAGGGAGTGGGGCGGAAGTAAGAGGAGGAGGAGGAGAAGGATGATGATGAGGAGGAGGAGGAGAAGAAAGAGGAGGCTCTGTGATACTCTTTGAACCTCTTGGTTCCACCCCCTGGTCCTGCTCCTGCTGCTACCTCCGTTCACAGGTGTCTCTCTCGTGCTCTATCCTTCCCCCTCCCCCTTGCCCCTTCCCTCCTCCCCCCCTTCCCGCACTCCTCTCCTCCTCGCTATATACTTGGTCCTGTCTCCCTCCCCTTCTCGTTCTGGGGGCTGCGCCAACCACACGTGGCGCTCTCGCTCGGGACCTTCTCATAAATTACTCAGGAAACGCGCTCTCGCCCGAGACTTCCGTGCCATCCTCTCTTGCTAAGCCCTCTTGGAAATCCCTCGCGTCCTCCATCTCTCCTTCCTTCTTGCCCCCGGCCCTCCTCCGCTCCCTTCCTCCTCGGTTCCTCCCTTTTCCATTCTTTCTGCTCTTCCTGGTCTAGGGGCTGCATCAATTTCACGTAGCAGGGAAGGAAACTATCCCCCCAAAGGGATAGGATCCAAGACGAGGAGGGTCAATGTCGAGGGTCTGAGAGATACATGCGCGATTTCAAAAACCCTAAGCCCCAAACGGTTGTCATCTCTACGGGGCGCATTTTTTACTTCCGCGGGTTTCCGCCATCCTTTCTCCGGATTCCACCGGCTTCTGCCGGCGGAGGCGGCCTCGTTGTACTTCCGCTAGCCTTCCGCCGATGAAGTGAAGGCCACTCCTTCGGTCCTCGGAAGCGAGGCCGTTTCTGGAACGCGTCACATGCTGGTTGGCATGCGAGCGTACGGGAGCGAACAATATGAACATCATTGTTGTGTTGTTATTGTGGTGGTGGTTGTGTTTGTGGTTGTGGTTGTGGTTGTGGTTGCTGTTGTTGTTGTCGTCGTCGTCGTCGTCGTCGTTGTTGTTGTTGTTGTTGTTGTTGTTGTTGTTGTTGTTATCACAATTATTGTTGATCCCCCCTCACCGGTGCATGCTGTCTTTTCTCAGTCAAAATGTGCCCCTCGACGCTCGCATCCTGTTTTTTGACAGGGAAAATCTTGGTGAAACTGTGCCCTTGGCCCCCCGGACTACAACAACAACGGCTCCCGCCTGAGATTTCCTCCAAATTTACTCAGGACCCCCCCTTCCCGGCTGAGACTTCCTCCCGACTTCCTCACACTTTAGCCCGGGTCAAATTGTGTTGTTGCTCCCCCGGACTACAACAACAACGGCTCCCGCCTGAGACTATTGAAGAATCGCGCTCTCGCTTTGGACTTCCTGGCAATTTGCCACCGAACAGCGGTTCCCGCATGAAACTTCCTGACGACGCACTATAGAATCGTATTATAGAGTCGCGTTCTCGCTTGGGCCTTCCTCGCAACTTACCACCGAGCCGCTTCGTTTGATATTCCTTACAATTTATCCAGATGCCAGTCCTCGACACTCAGGAATCGCGCCCCCGCTACATATCGCCTCGTGGTTTAAGCAGGACTCACGCTTCAACGACCCGCCCGCTCGACCCGCCCGTCGGGGCCTGCCCGCCCGACCAACCCGCTAATGGCTGCAGTCGCTGCTCGCTGCCCTTCGCCCGCCTTCGATGCCCCTCGCTGCCCGTACGGGTTTCGCGGTCGCCTTCGCTCGCTGCCCTTCGTGGCCCCGTTGCTGCCCTCAGCGGCCCCGTCGCTGCCCTTTGTGGCCCCGCATTATATGCCCTTCGTGGCCCCCGCTCGCACGCGCCTGTCGTGGCCCCATACGCATGCCCTTCGTAGCCCCGCTGTCGCCCTTCGTGGCCCCTTCGCTGCCCTTCGTGGCCCCTTTGCTGCCCTCAGTGGCCCCGCTGTCGCCTTTTGTGGCCCCGTATACGAATGCCCTTCGTGACCCCCGCTCGCTCCCGTCGTGGCCCCATATGCATGCCCTTCGTGACCCCGCTGCCCTTTGTGGCCCCGGTGCTGCCCTCAGCGGCCCCGTCGCTGCCCTTTGTGACCCCGCATTATGTGCCCTTCGTGGCCCCCGCTCGCACGCGCCTGTCGTGGCCCCATACGCATGCCCTTCGTAGCCCCGCTGTCGCCCTTCGTGGCCCCCTCGCTGCCCTTCGTGGGCCCTTTGCTGCCCTCAGTGGCCCCGCTGTCGCCCTTTGTGGCCCCGTATACGAATGCCCTTCGTGGCTCCGCTCGCTCCCGTCGTGGCCCCATATGCATGCCCTTCGTGACCCCGCTGTCGCCCTTTGTGGCCCCGTCGCTGCCCTTCGTGGCCCCGGTGCTGCCCTCAGCGGCCCCGTCGCTGCCCTCTGTGGCCTCGGATTTTATGCCCTTCGTGGCCCACGCTGGCTTTTCTCACGATTTACTTGGGAATCGCATTATCGCTCGAGACTTCCTCGCGATTCATGCAGGACCCACGCTTCAGCAACCCGCCTGCTCGACCTCGTCGCTTGGGCCCGCCTTCGCGACCTACCCGCTATGGGTCCGCCCACCCGATCTGCCCGTTTCGTTCTACCACTTGTTTTCTGCTCCTTGCCCCCCTCCTGCTAATTTGTCTCGTGCTCCATTCTTCTCACTCCCCCTTTCACCCGTCCCCTCTTCCCTTGTTTAAGGGGCTGCATTACACGTGGCAGGTAAGGAAGATATACCCCCAAGGGGGTACGATCGAAGACGACGAGGGCGGGTACCGAGGGCTTGGGATATACGTATTGATTGGCACGTGAGCAGATCGGAGCGAACAGTCTTAAACTGACTGTTCTTGTTGTTGTTGTTGCTGTTGTTGTTGTTGTTGCTGTTGTTGTTGTTGTTGTTGTTGTTGTTGTTGTTGAACATTATTTATTCTAAAGAATAATTATTGTTGGGGCCCCTGGTGCGCGGCCCCCTCGCCGCGCCTAGGCCGCAGCCACATTTTCATTATTTTCGTGAGGAAGTCTCAGGCAAAACGTGGGTGTCCGGATCCGGTTGTTTTGTTGTCCCCCGTTTTCCCTTGCAAAAAAAAAGCTAAAGTGGACATTTCTTGTTCTAACATAACCAAACTTCAAGAATCCCTTGCAACAAATAAGGTAAAGTGGACATTCGCGCGCGCAAGACGAAATCCTTCCAAAACCTTAGTGTTCGTAGCGATTTCAACATAAAAACATCAAAAAATCATTTTTTTTTTGGTGTGTTATATATATATATATATATATTATATATATATATAATATATATATAAGTCAAAATCTCATCCCGCGCGCTCTTGCGGATTCGTAGGAAACCCAACACTTTTTAAACATTTCTGTCAAACGGGCTTTTGCGAGCAACTTTTTCGAACTTCTGCAACAACGGTTGCGCACCTGCCAGGGCCATCATCCCTGTCAAATAATACCATGCGGGACACATTCGTTTTTTCTTCGCGCGCGCACGCCGTCGTCGTCGGCCGCGGGGCCCTGAATAGTAGCCACGGTCGTCCGCATGCCACGAAGTGAAGTGTCCGAACGTCATAGGGCGGGAAGCTGGGTGTGGGTGGTGGCGAAGAGTCGTTTGGAAATTTGGTAGAGCTTGAACCGGCCCCCCCACAAAGTGGGGGTATTGCCCGCCTCCTATGAAAACCCTGGCACTGGTGAGAACGGAGTGTCCCCACGTGCTAGTAATTGTTGTTGTTGAACATTATTAATTCTAAAGAATAATTATTGTTGGGCCCCTGGTGCACGCCCCCCTGCGCCGCCTAGGCCGCAGCTACATTTTCATCATTTTCGTGAGGAAGCCTCAGGTAATTCGATGTGATCAAGATCCGGTTGTTTTGTTCCCCCCCGCTTTCCCTTGCAAAAAACACTATAAAATGACATTTCTTGTTCTAATATAATCAAATTTCAAGAATCCCTTGCAAAAAATAAGGTAAAGTGGACATTCGCGCGCGCAAGACGAAATCCTTCCAAAAGCTTAGTGTTCGGAGCGATTTTAACATAAAAACATCAAAAAACCAATGGTTTTTCAACAAAAAAATGTCAAAATCTCATCCCGCGCGCTCTTGCGGATTCGTAGGAAACCCAACACTTTTTAAACATTTCTGTCAAACGGGCTTTTGCGAGCAACTTTTTCGAACTTCTGCGACAACGGTTGCGCACCTGCCAGGGCCATCATCCCTGTCAAATAATACCATCATCCCAGGAACTTGACCCAAAAATGTGACCAACTCCGCTCTCTCTGTCTCTCTCTCTGTCTGCTCTCTGTCTCTCTCTCTGTCTCTCTGTATTATGTATTGTATGGCACAATTGCACCATGCTGGGCACATGCGCGCCCCGAATAAGTGACCAAGTTCTGTGGGTGTGTACCCCACGCCAGTGTAGTAGCCACGGTCGTCCGCACGCCACGAAGTGAAGTGTCCCAACGTCATAGGGCGGGAAGCTGGGTTTGGGTGGTCGCGAAGAGTCGTTTGGATATTTGGTAGAGCTTGTAATGCCCCCCCACGAAGTGGGGGTATTGCCTGGTGTCGTATGAAAACCCTGGCACTGGGGAGAACACCACGCGTTCGGGTAAAATGATTGTTGTTGTTGTTGTTGAACATTATTAATTCTAAAGAATAATTATTGTTGGGACCCCTGGTGCACGCCCCCCCTGCGCCGCCTAGGCCGCAGCTACATTTTCATCATTTTCGTGAGGAAGCCTCAGGTAATTCGATGTGATCAAGATCCGGTTGTTTTGTTCCCCCCCGCTTTCCCTTGCAAAAAACACTATAAAATGACATTTCTTGTTCTAATATAATCAAATTTCAAGAATCCCTTGCAAAAAATAAGGTAAAGTGGACATTCGCGCGCGCAAGACGAAATCCTTCCAAAAGCTTAGTGTTCGGAGCGATTTTAACATAAAAACATCAAAAAACCAATGGTTTTTCAACAAAAAAATGTCAAAATCTCATCCCGCGCGCTCTTGCGGATTCGTAGGAAACCCAACACTTTTTAAACATTTCTGTCAAACGGGCTTTTGCGAGCAACTTTTTCGAACTTCTGCGACAACGGTTGCGCACCTGCCAGGGCCATCATCCCTGTCAAATAATACCATGCGGGACACATTCGTTTTTTGCGCGCGCACGCCGAAATCTCCAAAAACCATTGGGTCCTCGAAAAACACCTGCACGTCTTCCCTTGCGAGTACGTATCATGTGTATCATGTGTATCATGTACCATATGCATCATATGCAACAGATGTTCTGTGGAAGGCTTAACAACTTCTGTGGGTTAACAAGGCTTAACAACGTCTGTGGGTGTACGAACGTAGGCTTAACAACTTCTGTGGGTGTGTACTCCACGCCAGTGTAGTAGCCACGGTCGTCCGCAGGCCACGAAGTGAAGTGTCCGAACGTCATAGGGCGGGAAGCTGGGTGTGGGTGGTGGCGAAGAGTCGTGTGGATATTTGGTAGAGCTTGCATTGCCCCCCCACAAAGTGGGGGTATTGGCTGGCGTCGCATGAAAACCCTGGCACTGGTGAGAACACTGAGCGTTCGGGTAAAGTGATTGTTGTTGTTGTTGTTGTTGTTGTTGAATTCTCCTTCCCCAGAATAATTATTGTTGATCCCCCCCCTCTGGTAATCCTACTATTTTTCAATTGAAGGGCTCCTCCTGGGGTTTGCACCCTGTTTCTTGCAGGAGAAAGCTGAGTGTCACCAAACTGTGCCCCTGACCCCCAGTTTACAACAACATCGGCTCCCGCCTGATACGTTGTCGCAATTCATTCCGAACTCGAGCTCTCGCAGAGGACTTTCTCATAATCTATGCAGGAATCGCGCTCTCGCGAAGGACTTCCTCGCAATTTATACAAACGCCGCGTCCTCGATGCTCAGGAGTCGCGCTCTCGCTCTGGCTTTTCTCACGGTTTATCTGGGAATCGCACTGTCGCTCGAGACTTCCTCGCGATTCATGCAGAACTCACGCATCCGCCACCCGCCTGCTCGACTTGGCCGCCGTGGCCCGCCTTCCCGACCCTCCTGTTATTGTACGGCCTATCCGCCCCATCAGCCCGTCTGGTTCTGCTACATGTTTTCTGCTCCTGGCCCAGGCGTCCTGCTAATCTTTCCTTGCTCCATCCTTCTCCCTCCCCCATCCGTCCTCTCTTCCCCTGTTTTAAGGGCTGCGCTACATGTATGTGGCAGGTAAGGAAAATATACCCCCAAAGGGGTACGGTCGAAGACGAGGAAAAGGGGCATCGAGGGTTCGGGATAGACGTGTTGAGTAGCACGCTAGCAAATAGTAACGAACAATATTGACATGACTGTTGTTGTTGTGGTGCTGGTGGTGGTGGTTGTTGCTATTGAACTCGCACCAATGAAAAATGATTATTGTTGATCCCCCCCTCCGGGGCACATCGTGTTTTTCAATTGAAATGCTCTTTCCGGGTCTCGCACCCTTTTTTTTGCTAGGGAAAAACTTGGGTCTCAGAATTGGGTTGTTGGCCCCCAGTATACAACAACAGCGGCTCCCGCCTGATACTTCCTCACGATTGGCTCTCAAATCGCGCTCTCGCGCTGGACTTCCTCAGTAATTTTCTAAAATCGTGCAGTCGCTTTGGACTTCCTCGCAATTGATTCAAAGGCCGTGCCCTCAACACCCAAGAATCACGCTCTCGCTCTGGCCTTTTTCACGATTTACTTGGGAATCGCACTAACATTCCTCCTCCTCCTCCTCCTCCTCCTCCTCCTCCTCCTCCTTTCCTTTTCGTTATGAACAACTTCTCCCTGTCGCATCCCGAGGCCAGTCGGGCCGGGCGTTTCGCCGGAGACTTCCTCACCACTTATGACCCTGAAGCTGAAACGTTGGCAACAGCTTCGCAGACGGAGGGCGAGTCGTTTTCAAAATGTGGCTCTCGCCTTAGAACCGCGCGCATTCATTTTTTATGTATTGTTTCTGTTTTGTGTGTGTTCTGGTTTTCTTCATATTTGTAAGGTCACAAGGTCACATTTGTAAGAGTTCCACGGAAGGCGGGTCGTTTTCAAAATGTGCCTGTCGCCTTAGCGCCGTGCGCACTCGCTTAAAACAACTGCAAGAGTTTCACGGATTGAGGGCGGGTCGTTTCCAAAATGTGGCTCTCGCCTTAGCGCCGCGCGCATTCCTTCGTGAAAGCTGCAAGGGATTTACGGATTCCCATGGTCAGCGTACCAGAACGGTGTTTAGGAGAGATTCAGGATTAGGAGGGTGCAACAGTTACTTTGATTCGCGGTGTTGAAGTCCCAGGAACGGCGTTCTGGCACGACTCAGGATCGTCAAGACGCAACAACAGTCACGTTGATCCGTGGCGTTGGAGTACTGAAAAACTGTTGTGGCACGCTTCAGGCTCTTCAAGCGGTTGTCTTCCAACGAAGCAGTTCCCTCAGTGGAGCTGAACTGTTGTATGAGGCCTATGAAGAGGGAACTTGGAGGGAGGGTTTATTCCAACATCGTGGATGACTCTTGGGTTTGCACTGGTCCTCATCCTCCTCCTCCTCCTCCTCGTCCTCGTCCTCGTCCTCGTCCTCGTCCTCGTCCTCCTCCTTGTCCTCCTCCTCCTCCTCCTCCTCCTCCTCCTCCTCCTCCTCCTCCTCCTCGGTGAAAAATGACACCCTCGCCACAGGGGGCCGCCCGCGTCCGTCAGGATCATGTCCGAAGCGCCCTTGGCGACCTCCGTGCCCTTGCGGGTGGGGTGAAGCGGAGGGAAGAGCAACCGGGAGGCCTCGTGGAGGAATGATGATGGGTTGGCGGCGTGCCCACGCGTATGACGCCAGGTGTGTAGACTTGCGCGAAACGGGGCCGGGGGTGGTACGGGAAGACAGCATCCCAGCTTCAACGAAGGCTTCTTCGCAGCCTGGGCCCGTCCAAGAAGGCTTCTGCCCTCTAAGACGCCACCCGCCTTCGTAAAGTGCGGAGGAGGGGAGTGAGACGCGGACTGCTGCCTCCTCAAAACGAGGACCCAACACCACGCGATGGCTGGGAAACAGACTGGGAGAAGGAGCAAGGAGGGGCGCGAAAACAACCATCCTGGATCCCCATCGCCACACCGATCTCCGCCGCATTCAGGGCCGGGGCGTCATTGACGCCGTCGCCGGTCATCGCGCTCACCTGCGGTGTGCGGCACGGGGCTGCGCCGCTCGAGGGGGGAGGCGAGGGGGGATGAGGAGGCCGGGGGCGCAGAGGGATCGGCGGGGGAGGAGGAGAAGGACCAGATGAAGGAAGAGGGCACGAAAGAGGCATGCTTTCCGGCAGCGAGCTCGCCTAAAAATTCGCTCGACTCGTTCATGAAGATCCGCGCGCCAAGGGGGCGGTCCAGAAGCTGGAAGAGGAGGAGCGGAGGAGGAGGAGGAACGGAGAAACATGAGAGTGCCCTGGCAAGTGAAAGCGGAAAGCAGTGTTATGTAAAACCCCTTGGCTCCTCTTAGCGGTCACAACGAAAGTCCAGCACCACATGAGGTGGGTTTGCGAATAAGAAGAACATGATGAGAAAAAAACGACGGCGCTGTGCGGAGATTCCCTACGGCCCAAGCGGCATCCCAGTGGGGAAGAACGAGGAAGGGAGAACACGAAAGACACAGGACATCGCATTGCAGCGAGCTCGGTCGTGCACCACGATAAGAGAAACAACTCACCCTCCGATCTACCCTACGGCAGCCACGAAGAGGAGAGGACAGGACGGGGCGCAGGAAAGGGAACGGCATGCGGAAGGTGGAGAAGGAGGTCCAAAGTAAACTCCCGATGCGTCAACGATGCTCCAATACCCCCTCCGTTTCAACCCCCCTCCCCCAGCATCTCTTCTCACTGCAGCACGCGCCCCCCGTGAAGACCAGCTCCCCGCGGGCCTGCCATGCAGGCGAGGGCGCCGTTTTGAACAGGAATTGCCTGGCACCCTTGTAGTGTTAGGTCGGGCATGTCCCCTTTACATTGGGATTTTGGAGACAAAAATAAAAATTGCCAGGACATTTTCATACATACATAAACCAAAAACATAGAACATCGTCCCACGACTATTTCTTCTACGATTTTCGAGTATCCCTCTTGTAGAGGGACAGGCCCGACTTTATTTCAGTGGGTACTAGGGAATACGAGATCATACACCCCAGCGAGATGTCAAGCGAGATCTCCGTTTTGATGAAGGACTGCCCGTAGGTTGCACTTCTGCCCTTGAACTTCGAAAACGTCTTCAGCAAAAGCCCCGTTTTGAAGAGAAACTACCCTCCATCCGAAGAGCTGCTGCATATGTTCAACTTTTTGGTCTCCAGATTTCAAAGGAAGTGCCACGCGAGAGCCCAATTTTGAGAAGGAGCCGTCCCCAATGCCTAGAAGAACTGTAAACCTTGACGAAGATGCGCAACGCTAGGGCAAGACACCGATTTTGAGAAAGAGCCACCCTCCACCAGTGCAGCCTTTGCACATATGTACAGCGAGACCGCGCGATATTTTGAAAACGACCTGTCCTGCATCCGTGAAGCTGTTGCAATGTTTCAAGACGAATGTGCGCGGCGCAAAGGCGAAAACCACATTTTCAAAACGACATGGCCCCATCCGTGAAACGGTTGAAAGCTTTTGAAACGAATGTGCGATGCGCAAATGCGAAACCCACATTCTGAAACCACCGCCCCTCCCCTTATGAAACTGTTGCAAGTGTTTAGGACGCATGTGCGAGTTGCCAAGTCGATAACTGAATCCCACCAGCCCTTTGGGCGTGAGTGGTTTAGAGAACCCGCTCTGTCCTCAACCCCCCTTCTTCCCCTTCGGGGAGGGGTTTACCCCTCCCCCTCCCCCCTCCCCCTGGGCCTGGGCAGGGAGCCCCGGGTGTTCTCAAGGGGGTCTTTTTCGACTCCTGGGAGGGGCAAAAAACGACGACCCTCACGAGGATTCTGGCCCCGACGGGGGGGCAGAGTTTGGCCCCTCTGCTCTTCTTTGAAGCCAAAATCATTGATTTTACTACGGTTTTGGCCCCATTTTGGCCTCCTGAGGGGGCCGCGCTTCTCTTCCCTCATAGCAAAATCAGTGATTTTACGAAGGTTTCGGGCTCATTTTGTCCTTCTCAGGGGGCAGCTCTCCTTTGCGCTTCTGCGGAGGTCGCAAGAGGCCCCAAGATGGCCCCAAGAGGCCCCCAGGAGGCTCCCAAGAGGCCTCCAAGAGGCCCCCGGAGGCCCCCAAGCGGCCCCAAGAGGCTTCCAAGAGGCCCCCAAGAGGCCCCCAAGAGGCCCCACGAGGCCCCAAGAGGCCCCCAAGAGGCCCCCAAGAGGCCCCCAAGAGGCCCACGACAAGAGGCCCCCAAGAGGCCCCCAAGAGGCCCCCAAGAGGCCCCCAAGAGGCCCCACGAGGCTCCAAGAGGCCCCCAAGAGGCCCCACGAGGAGCCCGAACGACTCACATCAGGACGAGGGGCCCGAACGACTCACACCACGAAGAGCCCGAACGACTCACACCAGAAGGAGGGGCCCGAACGACTCACACCAGGACGAGGCGCCCGAACGACTCACACCACGAGGAGCCCGAACGACTCACACCACGACGAAGGCCCCGAACGACTCACACCACGAGGAGCCCGAACGAGTCACACCAGGAGGAGGGGCCCGAACGACTCACACCAGGACGAGGGGCCCGAACAACTCACACCACGAGAAGCCCGAACGACTCACACCAGGACGAAGAGCCCGAACGACTCACACCACGAAGAGCCCGAACGACTCACACCAGGAAGAAGGGCCCGAACGACTCAGACCAGGACGAGAAACCCCAAACGACTCAAACCACGAGGAGCGCTTTCTCTCCCTCCTCCTTCGCCTCGTCCTTCTCCCGCTCCCCCCACAAGGAGGATGTACAAGGAGGCGGGAGGAAGGAGGAACAGGGGAGATATGCGGGGCCAAGCGGACACACGCCTGAAAAACACGACTGTCGGCATGCTTCGCGAGAATTGCTGCTGTGAGATGGGCTGGTGGGGATACGCGAAGCGTAAAGAATTTCGAAAACCACCACCCCTCGATCCGCACAACCAGTGCATGCTTTAACGTGAACGTCCGCGGTGCTCAAGCGAGAACCACATTCTGAAAACCACCCCCTCCATCCGTGAAGCTTGTGCAATTGTCAAACTTCGGTGCCATAGCTGTGATGAGCTTCAGAGCGACATGCTCGGCCCGCCCTACCAGTGCGCCTGGGGGTGCGACAGGGAGGAGTTATGTATCAGGAAACAGGGTGGAGGAACGAGGACATGCGTGCATCAGTGCGTGTGGGGGCCTCCCTCCATGACCTGAACGAAACGTAGAAGCAATAGGTGGATCACGGGCACGAGGAGTGAGGAGGTAGAGGATGGCGAATAAGCGGGTTACCTGGTGCAGGGCAGGGCATGCAACAAATCCTCTAGTGGGCTCTGGCACATGCGGTGCCCCTTACTTGGCTCCAACAAAAGTTTCCTTGGAAACTCGCAACAAAAAGTAAATGTGTGTACGTCCATCGGCGAGATGACTTGTCGCGCGCGCGAGATCCCAAGACGTCCCCATGGCCACAAAATGGTTCCAGGAGGGCCTGAGGCCAAAGGCGATAACGTCCAGCCGACCCTGGGGTGACGCCGCCCCAACACGATCCCGCCATGGATTCTGGACCGTCTCAGGCCGACTCGATGATGACCAAAGGCATGATTCACGAGTGACGTCGAGATGGCCGATGGCAACAAAATGGATCCACGCGCGCCCAGGGTGGCCCCAGAATCGACACGCGACGGCTGCGCGATCCAAGCATGACCGAGACATGATCTCAATGTGACCTCAAGACGACCCTGACACGCCAACGATGCTGCAACTTCGGAACCCAAACTTACTTCGAGCCGATCCCAGCATGGCGGGATCCGTGAACGACCCAGGATATTTGTTTACCCGCTTTTTCATAGGTGGGATTCTAGCCTGGCCGAATTAAAATCTTTATAGTAAAAAGGGTGTAAGTGAGGTGGGATCTCGCCCGGCCCACGGCAGAAGACTACATTGCTAGGCTTTTACGGGGGGTAGGGGGCTTCGGACGGGGCGTCATTTACTCCCGCTGTCTTCCGCCAACCTTCCGACGGCCTTCCGCCATCTTCCGCTTCGTTTTACTTCCGTCGGCTTCCGCGAGCGAGTGATGTGACGAAAATTCAAGGAACTTTCACTGGGCCAACGTATGCGCCCATCTATCTGCAGTTCTCTGATGACGGCGACGGCGACGGCGACGCTGGCGACGACGAGGATGGCGTCGATGACGACGGCGAGGAGGGAGGGGGAGGAGGAGGGAACGGAGGAGGGGGAGCGAACGTCGCCGATGGGGCAATGTTCAGCCTTACGGCGGCCGAGAGGGACAAGGAGGATGGGGAATCCTCCGTCCTCCCTCCTCGCATGTTTTCTACGAACGTCCCACCGATTGTTCAAGAATGCCGAGTCCTGCCACCCATGACGCGGCTCCCCAGTGATGCGAGGTGAGGCAAGAACGATTGGGCACGCGGAAGCAAGTCAGTACACTGTGTGCTTCAATGTGTTCCCTATGGTCAACAATCAGCCATTACGGCGGACTATACGTGTGCAGCGCGCCTAGAACGCGCCAAGATGCCAGGGCGAGGTAGCAGAAAGACTGCAGCACATGCCCAGAACCGAGGCATGCAAGTGCGCATTGCTTCAAAATGTGACGCCAGTTTTGAGTCTGACTCCCACGCTCCCCTTGGCTTCGGATGCCTTCTTGGGGGCCTCTCTGGGCAGTGATGGGTCCCTCTTTGGGCGCTTTAGGGTTGCAAGTCTTGAAGGGGCCCTGGGACACACAAACAAATACACACAAATAACAGGATTCCCCATATCTTCCTATATATTTTCTGGGTTTTTGTCTTCCCCCCCACTTCCCATATTTTCCTATATTTTCCTGGGGATCGACGTTTAATTGTGTCTGTGTGCTTTTTCCCCTCCTGAAGTCTGTGGGGCTGTCTTGGGGGGGCTGGGGCCGAATCTTGGGGCACTCCTGGGCGGACGCTCGCTTTCCGCCGCCGGCGGTGGCCTTGCCCTGGCGCTGCAGGGACCGCACGATCTGGAGCTTGTCCTCCGGCTGCGCGCGCGCGAAGACGCACATCTTCCTGCGCGGGGGCGGCCGGCGGGGGCACCGCGGGAGGCGCGCGGAGAGAAGAACCCAAAGACTCCTCTGGCGCCGAGACAACGGCAGGAGGACGGCAGCCACATACCCCACAGCGATCCCAGGCCCATCCCTGGCCAGGGCTCGGCCTAGACTTCTGGAAGCCAGCGGGCGCAGGGGTGCGGAAGCGGTCGGGCGCCGGTCGGGCTGGAGCCGAGAGCTGACTTGGGCACGACGGAGCGGGACCCAGACCTCCCCCGAGATGTTTTTAGTCAGTCCGCGGCCGCAGAGGTCCCGACCCCTCCCCCCCAAAAAAGGGGTGGCTTTTCTCAGCCCGGCTCCACTCTTGGTGGCCGCGTGGGCCTGATAAGGGGCCCCCGGAGGCCGAAGGAAGTCCAGGAGAAGCCGCCGGCTGGAAAAGATCATACAGTGCGGGCGCGGCCGCAAGAAACCGTCGCAAGAAACCCAGCCCTGAGAACCCGCGCGCGAGGTACATCTGAGGGGAAACCCGGATCACCCTGAACGCAGCAGCTTCGTCAACGGCTGCGGGAAGTCACCGCGCAGCGCGCGGAGCGAAGAAACCCAGGATACCCTTACGAAAAACATATAGTTTCTCGATGCGGGCCCCCACTGGATCCTCGGACCTCTGGGGCGGAGCGGAGCAGGGGGGGGGAGGGACGGAGCCGCTCCGGCCGCGCAGACCTGAAGCGGACGTGCCGGCGGCGAGGACGTCGTGCGGGCTGCTGGGTCGGCGCGTACGTGCACGCGCAGCTCGGCCAGGGGATGGAGGCCTCCTGGATGGGCTCGGAGCAGGAGGAGGAAGAGGAGGAGGAGGAGGAGGAGGAGGAGGAGGAGGAGGAGGAGGAGGCGGAGGAGGTGGAGGGAGGAGGAGGAGGGGAGGAGGAGGAGAAGGAGGGAGGACGAGGAGGGAGGAGAAGGAGGAGGAGGAGAGGAGAGGAGGAGAGGAGGAGAGGAGGAGAGGAGGAGGGAGGAGGAGGAGGAGGAGGAGGAGAAAGGAGAAGGCCTCCTAGACGGGGTCCGAATAGATGGGGTCGGAAGATCGCGCCGAATCGCCGACTCATCGGCGATTCATCGGCGATGCACCGGCGATGCATCGTCGACGTGGCGCATCGGCGCCGTCGGCGTGGAGGAAGTCGGGCTCCACATCGAGCCGCATTGCCGATGCATCAGTGATGCCGCGCGATCCTCCGACCCCTATCTACTCGGACCCCGTCTAGGACGCCTCCT